TTCAGGCTGAGTTAGTAGTTAGTTGGTACAACCTACACCCGAAAAAACCTCGGACAACCTTTACCCAGGAAATCCATTCTGAATGAATGGAAAAGAAAAATCCAAGTTATTCAAGAGAGGGCCTGAGGGTAAGTAAGGGAGAACTCAAACTACATTGTCAGTTAAACCCTTTTCCTGTAAAGGCCTGAGTTCCTAAAACACTCAGAGCACTAAAGAGCAACCTCGACATTGTTTGAAATGAACCAGTTAGAAAAGGAAATCCTGGGAAACAAATAGCTCCGACAGAGAAACAACACAGGCCTGCCGCCTGCCTGACCCTCCTTATAGACGACTGCTGCGAGGGCGGTACCCGAATACCGTAATGAGGCGAGAGGCAAGCGGGAGCGGATGGTGTTAGATAGAAGGCACTGATGCCTTCGTGATGGCTTTGTGAGAACCATCTTGCATCGCACATATGTTTCTCGGAGGAATTAGAAACAGCTGCAAGAAAGAGCGCGATCAGAGATCTTTTCGATCGCTCATTGAGCTGTAAAAGACACTGCTATCCCTAGGAATTCGCTCGGTCGCTTCAACGATGGTCAGCTCCAAGTTGGACGAAGTCCAAAACGATACAAAAAGGGCCAGAAATGTTGAGGAAGAGATGCCTTCGGGTGGAAGGGGAGGCTCGTGGAGTGGCGGTCACGAGGGCTACAGCAGTCGATCAACGGGCCCGTCCGATGTAAAGCAGGCACGACCTCCAAACGATTACACATCCGTAACGTTGCTGCTAAACAACAATCAATCAAAGCCACGAATCTCATTTCATAGTGGTAGTACTGCACCGGAGCACGCTGTTGTTGGGATTCGGCCCTCGTCTGGTGGGAAGGTCACTCTTTGAGCTCATAGTCTGTCTGGAGTAATACCAGTCTGAGCTATAAGGTGACATGCTGTAGGCTTAGGCTTATCACACGCAAGTGGAATAGTCGAGGGCACCTTCAAGCTATGTGCAACGAATTGGGCCCTTTTATAGGAGAAATGGAAACGGTCACCTTTGAATATTTTTGTTGTGTCTGGGATCCTCCGCCAGTCGACCTTTAAAACTGAGCAGGAGACAACATAGTCACTTATGTTGCGATTTTCTGACCATGGCTTCTGCCCGATTAGGGATCGGAGCCGCGGCAGCGAAGGAAAGAGAAGATTCCGATGGAATCTACTGCGATCAACTGTACTACAAGAACCATAAGATAGGATATATTTGTGCAGAACTGATGGTAAGAATTTGGATGCTCTATGGCGGTGAGTTTTCAGCGAGTAGGCACAGTAGGGTAACTCTACTGTGAAGTGAAAATGCCAAAAGAGGTATTGGACGGAAGTGGAATGGGTCAAAACAGAGGAGAGAGCGGTCATCCCACGGCTGCGAGCGGTGCCTCTACTATTATGCCCAAGTCCAAAAATCGAATCCCAAGTCTGGTGCCATCTAGACCAGCACTCATTCCCTCTTTCCAAAATCGAAATGACGTCCAGTGACATCTCGCTCACGTGCCGATCCAAAGAACAATTTCAGCAATGCAAGACGGAAGAAGTTCGCCGCAATTAAAAAAGCGATTGATCGCTTGTAGGCCGTTTGTTTTTGTTATTTCTTTGCTGCTAAAATTAGATTCTAGACTGATCTATCCTATTGCTCCGTGGCAGCTGTTTCAAAAGGAGTAACTGAACAGGAAGGGCATGATTAAGTACCTCTTCCAGTGCTTCCTTCAGTTATTTTCGTGGGGTCGGAATAAACTTAGAGCTTCTTATTTTTAATATAGTCTAAAAGGATCATACTAAGAAAAAAGTAGAAAGTCATGTTCACATAGGTACTGCCAACCAATGAACTAACTTAAAATTAATTTAGGGTAAAAAGTATTCGCTGGCAAGGCCCAGTAGATTAAGCTTCCAATATACAAGTGTAAGTTGAGGATCCTAAGAAAAGGTCGCCATTATTCACCTGTTCCAAGAGCAAGGTCGCCTTTTGGTTTTTTCGCCGTAATAATTTTTCTATATCGCTCTATTCTAGTCCCCGCTACTGGACATTCGCCTAAGCCTGCCAGGCCTCCCAGCTGTCCGACATCCATTAGCTGGTACTAGCTGGGGGGACAAAAGCACCATTGTACGTCAGCTAGCCACCGCAAGTTATTGTATAGACCTTACACGCAATCAATGCGCCACTGCGATTTTGAATAGAAGTCGTAGGCTAGGCGCATTCCTTAGATGGGATTGGTCAAAGCTTCTTGAAGTGCTCGTGGTCTTCACTTTTTATTTCTGCATTTCATGGCATACCAAAGCGTGAAGATATGTAGAAAGGTGAGAGGCTCAGCAAGTCGGCCCTAATGGAAGAAACCCTTTTTCTTTGGCTGGAGAGAAATGAGGCCTTGTGGGCAGTGCTTTGCCAACAGCGGGTTACTGATTTCTTTTCTTTTTTTCTGCTGTAATGTTGAAAAGGAGATTGAGGGATTCCCGTACACGGTCTAGGAAAGTAAATGCTATCAAAACACTGTGAACAGCGCTCTTTGACTTTTATGGCCTACTTTCCACTCCTAAAATATCCATAAGTTACGAAAATATCATTGGAGATGATCATAGATTAGCATGAATTGATTGTTTGTGGGATCGAAAAACCAAGCGAAGTGACATCAACCAGAAAGCATCAAACAACAACACGATAATGTCCATCGAAGTGAACAACAATGATGAACAGCCAACGGGTGATGTGGAAATTTCAACGCCTTTTATATTGAATCTTCAGCAAGGTTGGCATTCCTTCGTTCTGACTGCACTTCTCTATTAGGAAAGCTGTGAATGTTCAATATTAATGGAATTCCGAAAGTGGGTGAGATGGCTCATGTTATTGAATGTTCCCTAGGAATTTTTAATTGGTTTTCACGCCTTCTAACGCTCTTCCTCAGCAGCGTTATCTCCTCTATAGTAGAAGGAACAAAATCGGGAAACCTCCCGCTTTCGCTGGACTGCATCATCAGCAAGCTTAGCAAGTCTTATCTGTGGGAGAAACTGAGGAACTGAGGACAACTCGTCTTGGAGGGCGGAAAGGTGGGGGTCAGCAAATGATCGAGTAAATTTATCGAGAAAGAAATCCTATGATGTTGAATTCGTTCAACTACCTCTCGGATGCCCGTCCTGCTTCTTCAAACCTCTCGAAATCTCTTGTTTTTTTGCAATAATTTATGACAGTCAGCTGTTCAGGTCAATGCTTTTGTCCTCCCGAGCAAAAGTGGAGCCGGACAGCTTATTTTGAAACAGCTGTAATGATGGACCTTAACGGATTTAAAGATTATGTAGTATAACAAAGGAAGGGTGGGGTTCAGAGTAGTAAAGCTCCCGCCACTGCTCCACCTCCTGGTTTCCTCCCTGATCATTTCGCCGAAATTCCTCAGTTTGTTGTGGAAACCATCTCATGGGACCTTCTCTTTTGAAGTGTAAACAAGTATTGGGCTTCAGTTCACAGTATGCCTACGGACGAATTATTCGTGCTTCTCTCAAGAGTTTTCTGAAGGTCAGATGTTGTCGTTTGAAAGAAGCAACCTGTTTGACAATCCATTCATTCAAGTGATTCCACAAAGGAAAACAGCAGGAGGTGCTATCATGGTGAATGCTCGGACCACCCAATGTCAATGCGCAGAAACTCATCAAAGCAATGGGTGCGATGAGTAGCCTTGGTTTTCAAAGTGGGACGTTAGCGGTTCAGTGAAACCTTACGCCAGAATTCAAACCAAGTTTCATTTTCATTCAAAAAATTGAGGGTTAGTAATGAGAAATTCATTTGATGGATATTTAAGGGATGGTCTGACAATGCGAAGGCAATAAGTTCACATAAGGGAATGTCCAATATCTCTTAAAGCTAAGAGCGTAGGACAACATATATGGAAGTTGTCTTTGCCGGTTCCGCTTTTATGATGAAATATTGCACATAACCGGATACCAAAAGGAAGGANATAGCCACTTTCGGCAGTGCACTCGCAAAACAAAATCTTCCTGGTGGTAAGGAGGGAGAGGGGGAAGCTGGTGAAAGAACGATTAGAGACCATTTCCCCGATTAGGGATTGCCTCTCCAAAAGAAATATTTCCACTAAGCCATGATCTGGTCACTTCCTGCAACTATGAAGGGAGGATATGCCTTTTCCAGCGGTTCTTCATCAACGAAGCTTCCTCAAGCGGAAAGTAGAATCACCGAGAAATCGAATTGACTGCCAGTACATGTGAAAGACGTCTTTTCCAGCCGGAACCTGACTAAATCGGGAACAACACAGAAGTAACGTTGTCATGCATAGGAAGCAAAACTAATGTCATCAGTTCTTTGATAGGCTCATAGTCATACTCGAAATGCAAACTAACGAAAAAGTGGGCAAACGCGATTCAAAACGGAGCCCTTTCTTGAAAGGTTTTTTTTTTGCTCAGATTCAGTTCAAATCACCCATGGAATACCCAAAAGAAATAGAATCATTGAAAACCTCTCGAATTCTAACTGCTAATCGTAACTTTCGCCCTTCAGTCCCTTCGACCACAGGGAATAATGACATTGTTCTAGCGCTAGCTTATCTGCTTTTCCATCTATAGAGATACTTAATTTTTATGGCCTTTGCCGGAAGATTTATTCAGAAACGTGTACTTTAAGGGACAACGCTTCATGTTTACACTTTGTATAGGCAGAATAGCCGAGAAGAAGAGGACTTCCTCAGCC